CATAATAACGTAAGTCACGTTAATACATTAGCTGATATAAATAAAGCTCCATCTGAAGAAAAGTTAAAAAAGTAAAAGACTTATTGGATTTTGGAGATTGGCGGGAGGACCAAAATCTATAAGTAGTAGTTCGGAGATTATAAAATTTAGTTTATAATATCCTATATCTACTAATGTCTCAAACAGGTCCAAGTAGATGAGCCATACCAAATACTCAGGCTATTGGAGCCATCAAAGTGAATTTAGAACTTTTTGGAAATATTGGAAAAAGAGCTTGTATTAAATTATTTAAAATACAAATAAAAACCAATGTATTATCTCAATTGATCTTGATATTTTAGACTGACCGGAGGCCGTATTTCTATATAACTTTACTTCTTTGAAATAAATATTATTATCCCTATACGAGAGCAATCCATCATGGTATCCTCAGCTTTCACACCTTCCTCTTAATGGACTCTGCATAGTATGTTATCTGTATATACCGTGCTTTATTGTTACTTATTTTCCTCCATGGCCTTTGTGTTTCGGGTTTTAGGGTTTGATGTTCTGTATGTGTGTAGTTGTGTACACGTATGTAACTATGTATGTACAGGTGTACATGTTTTTAATGTGTTTGTGTATGTGTTTAAGTGTATGTGTTTACGCATGTGCGTACACGTATGTATGCATATGTATGTGTATGTGTATGTCTTTACTGTATGTATTTACGCATACAGTCACTAACAATCTGCTTTCGATCTCATTTTATGAGGAAAGATAATAATCATAGTACGTGTTCTAATGTCGATTGCTTTATTATTTTGTCTATACGCAAGTGTATAGGTATATGTACATGCAATTAGACATGTACATATGACTATACGCAAATATAAACCTATTATTATTTATGTTATATACTTATTGTTATACTATTGCAAAAGAAGACTGTCTCCACTATGGTATATAAACATATGGTTAAATATTTATTCTAATTTCTATAGATACCTTATCAAGTATTGGCAGTCGCACAAGCTTAATGGGATCGAAGGATTTCAACCCTAACCCCCATCAAGCTTGTGTGCTGTCAGAAATTAAATAGTTGTTTTAGGGTTTTAGGGCACTCTGATTACTGTACTAGAGAGGGCATGGTAGATCCGAAGGGATGGATCTTATCTAACATCAATGCAACTCTTAAATAATAAGATCTTTATCCAGGAACGACCTCCCCGAGGCAGATCTAAATCCCCCAAGACCAAGGAGGTTATGAACTGTGAGGAGTACGGTTAGAAAATAAACTGCACATAGAAGTGGTTGGAGAGAATAAATAGCATAGGATGGAAGACTAGAAGAATACTAAAGTGTCGTATAAGGCATACACTCCCTATAAATATCTATCCCTACATAGTTATATGTATGTCCCCCCCAGGTTCCATTATTATCTCCAAGTGTGATTTTATATAATCGAATTCTCCCTGCGATACATCACCGCGAAAATAAGATAAAATAAGAATATATCCCGTTTCCTAATAAAAAAATAACATCGGGATCTGCTTATTTCTAAAAGAACATAATCGGCCATATTCCTGTTTTCTTAATTAAGAAATTAAATATTTCTTAAAGTTCGACTAAGTGCTACATACTTCTTATTCCTAATTCCGAAATTTGATTTCCTTAAAAATCAGGAATGGACCTTAATACGTATTTCTTACGAAAATTATGGCAATTTTTTCTCTTAAATTCTTTTTGTTAATAATGACATGATAGCTCAGGTGGTGCAGCATCAAATCTGTCCAGGGGCCTGGCATGGTCTTACACAAAATGAGCACTGTGTTTGGTTTTTAGAAAAACAAAAAACAAATATTAAATTTAACCCGAGCAGTTGCCACTTGTCACGAAGCCCCTCAACTTGTTGACAGGCAACACAACTCTTCAAACCCTTCACAACCTGCGAACGCTACACTACCACCAGCGTATTTAAATACCACTGGACCAGTCGTATCGGAAACCCAGAGTCGGATATGCGTCTCAGTTTGATTGTTTTAGTCAAATACTTTTTGGTATTATCTCTATCTCGTGTCAGGTATATTCGATTGATAAACTACTTTACAGTGATATAGTGCCATAAGACCTTTGTCGTATGACCATTATATGATTCACTAACTTCTACTGTTGTACTTTACTTTTTTTTAAATACCTGACTTTTTATATAGTCTCTGCGTCTTTGTTAATCTATTCTTCCGCATCAACACAGGACACAGTGTTCGCAGAGTTGTCAGTGCTGTGCAAACTTGAGTTCCATCACGGTGTTGCGTATGCCCGCCCATAGCGCATAGTGTTGCGGCAACCGTACAATTGCGCGACGGAGATCTTGTGCTCTTGTACCTCAGAGCAGGCTGGTCGGAGTATCTATCCTAGGTGCATAGTTGGTCTCAGGGTTAACTGGTCCACATAACTACGGCAGGTGTATAGTTGGCTGTTTCCGCGTGCGCAGAGAGTACTTTGAGGTGCGTAGAATATGATATAAATGCCGCTATCAAAATAGTAACACTTCAGATAATCATCTGCATCATCAATTGCTGCAATAGTGTATGTATGACTCTGATTCAAACACCCACTTATCTCAAGCATATAAAATTGTCGATATCGATATTTATATGCTGCGGTTCTGAGTTCTGACCTCATGTGGCTTCTGACCGTTTCAGGCCATTTGTTGTAGACTGTGTTCAGAGAAACACAGTCGTTTTAACTGATAAGATGATTCGTTATTAGGGGTCGTTTGATTCGATGAGGTATGAGGTGTTGAGAAAGTTTGGCCAATGAAACATAACAATAATATATGATATTTGAGATTACGTATTGTTATTGAGCTGCCAAGATATTCAGGAATACTTGCGAGAACTCGGCATAGACCCATGAGTAGAAGTGTAGGCTATCCCACATGTTCTGAAATACTGCGTTTGATTCGATGAAGTGCTGAGAGAGTTTGGCCATGTTCACGTACTGCTCGGCATTTCCATTGGCAATGTTTGCTTCCACTATGTTAGTTTGAGTCCAGTTGTAGATCTCTATTCAAAACGCAATGTTAGTGATAAAGTGTTCGGATATTAGCGAGAATCGGATAGTACGAACTCGGATGGGCTGGTGGTGCATTCCCACGTGCTACTTATAAACCAACAAGTACGGCTTACTAATAAAACCAAGTAAGATGATTCTTAAAGTACTGCGCATGGTGGTGGGCTGGTGGTGCATTCCCACGTGCTACTTATAAACCAACAAGTACGGCTTACTAATAAAACCAAGTAAGATGATTCTTAAAGTACTGCGCATGGTGGTCCATTGCAACACTCCCCATCCCTTGGCAACAGATCACAAGAGTAGACAACACACATCCAAGTTGTATGTGAATCTGCGACAAGTCTTGAATTCTGAGGGTAAGGTTTTCGATCTTGCGATGAGAGTCCTGATTTCTCAACACCAACCCACTAAAGCGTATGCTGTATAATGCCATCTTCATTCATGAGCCCACGAGATGTCAAGCAGAATATGAACATTACTCGTATAAAATCAAACTATATACATATATATATATATATATATAAATATTTATAAATAAATATATATATAAATATATATGTATATATATATATATATATACTACATGCTATTTATAGATATTGATATCCGTACATGTACTATTTATATATATATATATATATATGTATATTATTTTTATATATATATATATATATATGTGTGTGTAAAATGTATATATGCAGACTTACATACGCACATACATAACAAATATATATTCATATATGCTTACGTATTCACATAAATACAATCATATATATATACATACATATATATATATATATATGTATATATATATGCAGACTTACATACGCACATACGCACATACATACAAACAAATATATATTCATACATACTTGCGTATACACATAAATACAATCATATATATATAAGTAAAAGTATATGAATATAATACTGTATATATATATATATATATATATATATATTGACACACATATATGCGCCTTCGCCAAAATCTCTACCATCAGCACGTGCACATATCAGCCAACAGCACGCAATAGGAATGACGGGCAGATCATGTGCAGCCTACATGTGCCATACACACCACAAGTTATATGGACAAGGGCCACCACACATGAAAACTACAGAACAGTAAGACACCCGAATGTAGCTTTCCCGCGGTTGAGGTTACACGCCACTCTGCTCTATCGCCGGAGTACTCACTTACCGTCGGTCATCAGATAGCCTTTGTACCCATTAAGCACGTGTACATTGAGACTATTCTTCTTGGCTTCCAGGTTCGCTTGACGCCATGCTGGGGTGGTCATGGTCCCGTTCATACTTGCCTATTTGCGACAACACAGACACTTTCGAATCAAAATATGTGTTCACATATCGGTCAATAACTCACAGATCGGTCAATAACTCCTATTTACGACAACACACAGACTTTCGAATCAAAATTATGCAATCACAGTCCTTTCCTTATGTATGCCTGTTTAAGATAATATAGAGACTTTTGAATGAGAATGTGGTGGTCATGGCTCTATACTGAAGACAAAATAACCCCATTCGAACCAAAATCGGTGGTCATGATAGAGTGAATGTGGTTGTCTATCGCCCGTGAAGTAGACTGGATAGAGTATGTAAAGAATAATATGTGTTTCCCTGAGAATAACATATTTTAGCGACATCGGTGCGCTCGCATAATATGTGAAGAACTAAACAACCGTTTCAACGTATTGAAGCGGTGTGACAACCATAAGGACAACGGGACTTCGACTATAAAACCGATACGCTGCATTACACATGGTTTAGATCTGAGGATCCCCAATGGATACAAAGTACAAACATGGAAACACTCAAATAATTGTGTATGTACACACGTATATATATATATATATGTGTGTGTGTGTATGTGTGTATGATCTATACGTTAATGTTTGTGTGCGTATATACTTTGAAATACACAAACTAAACTTGCGCATTAAGCCAACGATCGTGACGCACTACCAGACTCACTCGACTTCGCAGCTTTTTAGGTTTCAACCAAATACTCCAATTGATTTGGTGTCTCACATTCTCGCGTATACTCTCAATCGAACGGATGCACACAAATACACTATATTCATAGGCACACACACACACACAAAA